TTAAAATAATTTTTCTTTATAGAATAATATTGTTGTACTACACTTTGTATATCTGCTTGTGCAATGCTGGATCCTTGCTCTCTTACACTCTGGGCTACTGGGAACATTGCTGCCATGTAGATATGTGTACAAATAACTGCTCAATGCCATGCCTCCTATTTTTTTTTATGGTTTATTGATTTTTATTGGAAAATCAGATTTACAGAGAGAAGGAGAGACAAAGAATAAGATTTTCCATCTGTTGATTCAGTCCCCAAGTGGCTGAAGCTGAGCAGATCTGAAGCTGGAGCCAGAAGCTTCCTCTAGTCTGCCACATGGGTGCAGGGTCCCAAGGCTTTGGGCCATCCTTGACTGCTTTCCAGGCCACAAGCAGGGAGCTGGATTAGAACCAATGCCCATATGGGATCCTGGCGCGTTCAAGGAGAGGACTCTAGCCACTACACTACCATGCTGGGCCCCTTTGGGTGAGTTTTATCATGAAGTATTCAATTTCACTTATCTTCCTAATTGCTTAACCTGTTTTGAATCTGTCCAGTTAAATTTTCATTTCATACTTTGTATTTTTCATCTCTAGACACTGCTCATTTATTTCATTTTTCTCAATGTTTTCAGGTAGTTGCACAAAACCTTTGAGAGCTGAGAGGTTGCAACTCTGGCCTTTGCTAGTGCTTGTTTACTTGACCAGTGGATAGCAAGGGACCAAGGTGGTGCAGCATGAGCCTATTATGTTCCCAGGAGCCAGTTGTATGCTCTCCAGCAGCCAGGTGCTCCTGGGCTGGTGGCTCTAGTTACCGAGTGGAAGATGACTGTAACCTGAATGATATTTAACAAAACTATGTCCAGAGCATGCTCATCTGAGGAGGTGACTGGGATAAAATCTGAATTAATGTGCTGCATTTTTATTAAAAGAAAAACTCCATCTATATCTACCATCTGTCTTGAAAATGCAAATAGTCCCACAAGGAGAAGCAGCCATGTGTCACTCCAGCACTGGCTATGCTTGACCTATACAGGGTGGGACAACAGCTGCACTTCTTAGAATACCTACCCTGTCTTATGGCTGTAAATGACTTGATTACATCCAAATGTGTTGGTTACTATAATCTGAGTCATGCTCCAGTTGTTTGACCCTAATCACATGTGTCCCAGGACTCATTCTGAGTAGGACTATAATCAGTCTGCACCTTTTATCAGTGTAATAAAACAGCAAGGTGCAATTGAAAAATACTGACAAACCAAAAACTGTAAATTCATTCTGCAATTTTCAGAAAGGTATCATAAAAAGATGGCAGCTGTCCAGAGCAGATGAAAGCTGAGTTATGAAACAACTGTATGGGACTAAGATAATGTAGGCAGAGAAGACAAGCCCCACATACAATATTTTAGGCCAGATTTTGCACACTGCAGGAATGGACATTTTTAAAAAATTCAGAAAGTTTTCATATATTCAAATACTGGAGTGAGTATGACGAATCCCATATATCTTTTATTTGACCTCAACAACTATCAATGTGTGGTCATTTTTCTTTTTACCAATATCACCACCCGCTATCTCTAGTGTTATGCATCAAATTACAAAAAGTAGCTTAGTGGTTAAGTGTGGAAGTTAATTTGCTGGGTTCTTAGCTCTATGTGGTGCATACCCATGTTGAGTAGCAGGGAACTGAAGGATGCTTGAACAATCTGCAGTCCCTTAAAGAACAGCTTTATATTAAGCCCTGTAATTTCATTGTACTGGTTTTTTTTCTAACCCAGTTTTGCTGCTTGCTGGATTACTGGTTCTATTTTTTTTAAGGTTTATTTTTATTATTTTTTTATTGGAAAGGCGGATATACAGAGAGGAGAGACAGAGAGGAAGATCTTCCGTCTGATGATTCACTCCCCAAGTGAGCGCAACGGCCAATGCTATGCGGATCTGAAGCCAGGAGCCTATTCTGGGTCTCCCACGCGGGTGCAGGGTCCCAAAGCTTTGGGCCGTCCTTGACTGCTTTCCCAGGCCACAGGTAGGGAGCTGGATGGGAAGCAGGGCTGCCGGGATAGAACCGGTGCCCATATGGGATCCTGGGCGTACAAGGTGAGGACCTTAACCACTTGCGCCACCGCGCCGGGCCTGGATTACTGGTTCTTTAACTGGTGTCCTCTTTGCACTGAATGAGGTTACTGGATGTAGTGGATCATTTTTTGATACCATCCAGCTTTGAGTTTGCTCTGTGACTCTTGGTGTCTTGGCAAGCAGATCTTAAGTGATGTTCCCAGGCCACCTGAGCTCCAGCCTGCCTTTGACTTTTCAATGTGTCCAATTCTGGGGCTCTGTTTTCCTGGCATTTTCTCTGTCAACACTTGCCTGTAAATTCTTGCATCTTTCTTCATTTTTCACCTTTGTGAGTCTCCTGTCCTAAAGATCATGAAAATCCCCCCAACAGTTTCCCTGGTCAGCTTTTGATGGCTCTAGTAATGTTTTCATTCCATAAAATGATTTCCCCTTTCCATTCACTATTTTCTGTGAATCCAAGTTTTGTGATTATGTCAAAATGTTTCCTGATAAATATGTGTAATACACAAATACATAATTTTAAAATACATATATTTAAACTTCTGGTTTACTATTAGTAGTGATCTAAGATCCACTTAATACTGTTTATGTCCCAAGAAATGAAAAATTTGCCTTCCTTCTAAATTTGGTTGATGGTCATAATTAGCAAGCCCATCAGTCACAGTGGCATTAAGCCCAAAGCAGCTCATCTTTGTCCACTGTAGAACAAGCAGATCACCCAGAGAGGACTGTCTGGACGTGACCACAAAAAGCCCAGCTTTTTTTTCTCCACTTAGTCCTCACAGTGTGTGAATTAATGCCTCATTCCTCTATCTTGTCAGGCAACTAAGCTTACATCTCTGGAGCCTGTGGCCAGGTGAGTAAAGAGCCTGCTGTGATGTCCAACTCTAGTACAGTGTTGGAATCTGACACCATGACAAGGCTAGAAGGTATGCCGAGCACAGTGATGTGTGTACAACTGGAACCAACAGGAGGAGACATCAGGGTGACTTCCACATCCCTGCCCAGGCAAAAGCAGGAACCAGTTACTTACTGTTTTTTAAAGAGCTCTTTATTTTTTATTGGAAGGGCAGATTTACAGAGAGGAGGAGATACAAAGATCTTCCATCTGCTGAGTCAATATGAAGCCAGGAGCTGCCATGTGGGTGCAGGGTCCCAAGGCTTTAGGCTGTCCTCCGCTGCTTTTCCAGGCCACAAGCAGGGAGCTGGATGGGAAGTGGAACAGCTGGAACATGAACATGTGGGATGCTGGTGCTTGCAGGTAGAGGATTAGCCACTTGAGCCATCACATCAGCCCCCAGACGATTTACTTGTATGAGTAGTCTAGGATCTGCCCACTGGAACTGACAAGTTTAAACAGCCTGTAACAAAAGCCCAGCTTCTTGCACATTTAGCTTCTTACCCAGTAAGCTGAGCAATACCCTCTATATGGATGACTCGCTGAACAGCACAGTGCAATATTTAAAGGGAAAGTGGTTGAAATCTATACAGTTGTACTCTTTCATCTCTACTCTGGCATGCTTGGTATGTAACAAATTTTGTGAATTTGTGCATCCTGGTTTTTCTTGGATAATTCTGTTCCAGAGCTGGCTGTTATCCAGGCTGCCATCCTTGAGTTTCACCAGACTGAACGCGGAACCTACCAGGTCAGTGAATCTCCAAAGCTAAGTCAAATCAGTCTAAGTTGTTTGTTCCGGTGATGAAAAGCTAACCATCTAATGAGGGTTAGGAGGAGTAGGCTGGTTGCATGGGTGAAACACTTAGTTCTAATTTGGTAATGAACTAGGGCGGCGTGGCCTAGAGGCTAAAGTCCTCGCCTTGAACGCACCAGGATCCCATATGGGCACCGGTTCTAATCCAGGCAGCTCCACTTCCCATCCAGCTCCCTGCCTGTGGCCTGGGAAAGCAGTCGAAGACGGCCCAAAGCTTTGGGACCCTGCACCCGTGTGGGAGACCCGGAGGAGGTTCCTGGCTTCGGACTGACATAACATTGGCCATTGCGCTCACTTGGGGAGTGAATCATTGGAGCGAAGATCTTCCTCTCTGTCTCTCCTCAAAAGAACCGGTGCCCATATGGGATCGCGGTGCATTCAAGGTGAGGACTTTAGCTGCTAGGTCACTGCGCCAGGCCCAAATTTCCAGTTCTTAATTGGCAAAAGGGCTACAGACTTCTTTTCAGAATCTCTGTGAGGACTAAGCAGGGGAATGTATGCAACACTTAGCACTCTGTGTCTCACATTACAGTAACAGTGACTATTATCCTGAAAGTCCTATCTTTTTTTCTTGTTTTAAAAGAATGTTGTCAATTATTCTATCTCTTGAAAAAGCAGCTTTTTCATCCCCACATAGTAGCTTAAGCACTGATCCAGGAGCCAACAGGGGCAGGTGGCTGTCAGGAATCCACTCTGAACAGATGATGAAAAGCGTCCTGTCTTCAAAAGCTGCTCTTCACAGATCTATGCTCCGCTGCTAGCCTGCAGGCACTTCAACTGCTGCGTCTAACATTTTCTCTTTGAGTTTAGAAGTCATATTGAATATGTAGTGCTAGACCGGTAAGGAAGGGAAACTTTCCCTTTAGACACAGATCTCACAGATGTCCTATTTTTTAGTAGGATTTTTATGACATCTGATCAGTGTGGGCAGTTCAAGAAATTATGTATCTGCTCTGCAGATTGTTTGGTTTTATTTTTGCTACAGAGCATCTAAAGATGACCTGGCTTAAGCCACATACAGCTTTTTTACCGCAATGATAACTTTTGCTTCCATCAGATTTTGATTTTTGCCCCTTGCTGATGCATGCTTTCATCAGAGTAAGTTACAACTACCAAAACTCCCATGGCTACACAGAGGTGACCGCGATCTCTAAATACTTTTGTAAGTGATGTGGTGTGCTTTCACTTCATATTTCAGGGGTAATTAACTGCACCAGCTCCATCAGCGACTACACTGAAGTTTAAAATGAGTTTATTAAAGAAAGTTCTTAGGAAGGCAATAACGTTTGATTTATCATTGAAAAAAGCTACCTTTTCTTCATGCTGTGTGGCTGATATAGCACAGTGTAGTCATTTCTGCAATGCTAGAATAAATAAAGTCTCTGCTCTTCTTCAAAAAGTGATGATATTAACAGAAGATAGCATAAAAAAGCCATTTTTTCCATTCATTCTGTAGTATTGGAGCCAGTATCTAGGAAACAAGAAAGTAAATTTGTGAAAATAGTCTTAAAACATTTATAATTAAGTTGCTTTCCAAAAGATAACAGGTACTGCTAGTGACGTAGTCTGAGGGGTGGGGAAGATGACCATGGAATAGGGCATATGCTTAGCTCCTCAGATTTATGCTAGATTCTTATAACTGTTCTGTAATCACCTTTCAGATTCGCTGCTATCCTAAGATTCTAAATGACAAGGAACTATAATCAGAAGAAAAAGAAATTTCCAGGTGGGAAACATCAAAACTCAAGCTGTTCCCTGCTTCTGTATTAGCCACAGCTCTCTGAAACAAACGAGTTCCTATTAGAATATCCATAGTAGTACCTCAATCACCTCCCTCACTGAGTAACATTCAAACGTACCTCACCTCTACCGTAAATGCCAAACTGTTTTGGAAAAAAGGTTTTGTTTTTTTTTTTTTTCCCTGGTGGTACAATAGAGCAAACAACATGATTAAGGCTTTCCCTGAGTGCTCAACAAGTACTTCAACAAACTGCACTCAGCCCTCACTAGGGGAGGTCCTCAGAGCCAGTGCCACGGGTGAGGCTGGTTTGCTGCTGCTCCTTGAAGAGCCTCATGAACCAGGTGTCTTGAGGTGGATCCCCCCATTTTACTATGCTCCTTGTACATTATATTGTGTTTACCTACTGTGACTCAAATTCCTCTAGTCTTTTTCTTAAGTTACTTTATTAGCATAGGTATAGTTTCTCAATTTGACTGCTCAGTAGCTATGCATGGCTACTGGAAAAGGATATATCGTTGACTTACTGGACAGAGGACTAGCCATCATCTACGCAGTAAACTTAAAAAGTTAAGACTTCCAAGGATTCTATCAGTTTCAATTATAATTTATGCATTATCTTTTTGTCCAGAAAATGTCCAAAGACATTTTTAAAAAGTAAACTAGGAATAATCTTTTGATATAAGGTATATATATGTAAGATTACTAGCATTAGAAACTTTTCTAGGACCTGCTTTTCTTCAAATTGGCTCAAGGTACAGTTTTTTTTTTAATAATGACTAAAAATCAGGATAAAGAAAACTCATGGGAAACAAGATGTATTTGCAAATTTATCTATGGTCATATATTTGTTACTGTAAAAAATAATTGGGGATTCCAAAGTTTGTAGGAAAATGGAGTCAAAAGATAATGCAAAATTTTTCATGAAACTCTTGATCCCTTCATATACATGTAAGATTATTAACAAATCACGAAAGTGAAAGCCATTTCCAGGTGGTATTAATTTTCTTTGTGCTCTTTCCTCGGTGATTTTATATTTTTTTATTTCAAAGGAAATACCTAATCTAGGAGTCTGCTTTCTGAGACAGGCGGCCTTTTAATTCCAGAATAGCTGCTTTAAACGAATGGTCAGATTAGAAGGTAAGCACATTAGAAATGCAACCAGCAAACTGGCAGTAGCTATTCATGGACTCATGGCAGAGCTACAACTCTTGAAACAGATTTAACACTTTGGAGGAATGAATGAGCTGCACATGACTGCAAGATTTTGCCTGTAAATTTAAGTCTTCCTTAAAATGGCTTTCAAATTACACAGGTCTGGCTATCCAGCACAGTAAAGCAGCTTTTCCCTGATCCCTCCCTCCTTCAATCTGTAGGAGCAGCCTACCTGATGGCTGAAATGCCTAAAGGTAGTGAGAGGACCTGAGATTTGGAATTCAGAATCTGAGACAAAAACCAAGTCTCTGAAAGCTCATAACTTGGCCCTTTAGAAATTCATCTAATTGAAAAGTCAATGCAATAAAAACAATTTAAAATAGTTACATTTTCACAGTTTAGTGAGCACTTACTTTTACCATCACAGGCTACAATTTTCACTTTATCCACTTTAATAAGTTCTGTCATCTCTCTGAATTCAACATCATTCAATACAAAAGTCCACACATTATCGCAGAATCTGTATGTATTTAGAGAGCCCTTTAAAATAAAACAAAGAAATACCATGAAAAATTATTTTTCCCTTAAGCAATTCAAGAGAAGTTAGTTACTAAGTTGTTAAAACATTATGTCTAATGCTTAAGATGTGGTTAATGTATATGTATTTAAAATAAAAAACAAAACCTCGATCAGTTTGCTAAGGAAAATGTTAAATATTTCAGGTGGCAGATCACTGTTAACATGTGGAAGTTGTGCAGACTGCCAACTGGGCGGACAAGCTCAGTCTGTTCTCTGCTGCCCTCATGTGGCTAAAATTCAGGTTCACTACAACTTCTATATAAACACTCTAAAAGCTACATTGTTAATTCTCCATAAATTTGAATAAAAAAGGAATTTCCTAGAAACAATTTTAATCCTGTGATTACTGTATTTCCAATAAGATGAATGTCAGGATGATGAATATTGTGGTCACAATTTTTTTTTTAAAGCAGAAATTTGTGTATCTTTCAACATCAGGAGGAAAGATTACATGGAAGGCAGTGTGACAGGAATCTCTCCACTTGCTGAGCCAGGCTGAATCCCATCCATGTATCACAGGTAGGTGAGAGGGGTCCAAATATTTGGGCTGTATCTCTTGCTGCTTTCTCAGGTGCACTGGCAGGGTCAGAACTAGAACAGGAGGGATCCAAAGTGGCACTTGCATATAGGATGCCTGGACTGTAAGTGGTGGCTTAATCTGTTGTGTCACAATCTTTGCCTCAAATGGATACAAACTTTAAAGTGCCAGACACAAAGAGAATGCAACCAAAACCTCAGATATGCACACATTCATTCATAAAGGACATTTAATGCAGCAGGATATCTAAATGATGAGCACACATAAAAATACTCCCTTACAGTATCTTTGTAAAAGCAATCATATTAGATCTAAATGTCTTATTAAGAAAACAATGGTAGCAAAGAATATATCAGTTAGTAAATCTAATGAATGTGGGAGTTACTGTCATGGCCTACGCTGGGTCCCTGTCACCAGTCCGTGTAGTTTTAGGACCAGCACTCTGAAAGACTCAACGGCGGGGGGCAAAGGGCAGAGAAAGCAGCTCTTACAAAGAAGGCTGACAATGGGAAGGAGGACAAGTACTTCCCACTGAGGCCTCTCGGCTAGCTCTATCAAAAATGGAAGTGGCTTTACTAAAGTAACAGAGTGGATCAACAGATTCTGAATGGTAGAACCGGGAGAACTGGCAGGAGTGGGGAGAATTCTACCTGTGATGGATAATTTCCACCTTGTATAATTATAGAAAGACTGGTTTGGGAGGGAAGGCAAGTGAGACTTTTTGACTTTTGGACATTTCAAGTCACAACATCCGGGAAGCAGTAAGAGAACAGAAGGCAGGTAGGCATGAACACTTCCACCTAAGGGTCCCAGTGCTGGGTGGGCGCACTAAAGGCTAGCGTGTGGACACCCAGAGTGCCCTGAGGATCACTCAGAGGGGCAAGAGAACTACAAAGCAGTGTGACAGAAAGTCTAGGAACAGGAAGGTAGGATAGTACAGTTTCACCGGAGAGTATGCATTTAAAAAAAGAAAAAATAATAAAAAAATGATGCATGATATATCCAATAGAGTTTGACAAACACGATCTGCTTCTGTCCTGAAGGAGACAAATGCCACCCTGATGCTCACCTCTGGCATCCGGAACGCTGTCTCCTTTTGTGTGTAATCAATCATCCCATACATAAGTTAATCTAATTGATTTCCTAGCAATAATCTGAACAAAGCATGTTGCTGGACATTATGACTATGTGGATATTCACTTCTAATACAAGGCACTTTTGATATAGTTGGGAGTGAAAACACATTTATGCTAACATAATTAAGACTGTATTAATTACATAGGAGTAGAATGCTTAGTATAAAATGACCTTCATGGTATTACTTGCATAAAGAATCTATTCATTACTTCCAGTATAATGTAAAAGCACTTTTTTAGTACAAAGAATCATATTTAAAAGGTTCCTTCTATAAAATTTCTGGCTTTGGCGATTTTAACACTTCAATATTTGGCTAAGTAGTATATTCCATGACTTGTAAGATACAATTTTTAAAATATACATGGACAAACTAGAAATAGCTTTTTTCTCTAGCTTACAATGACTAACACTTCTTCACTGAAGAAAACAGGCTGGGAAAGGAGGCTCTTGCTTTCATTAGAAAGTCTTATAATGCCTGTTTAATTACCGTTTGGAGATAATAATCAATTTGTGAGTATCAAGCACAGAATGTTTTTTTAAACCATTAAAATTCAGGTTTAAAAAAAAATCAATGTACCTGATACATACACTGACATTAACTTTCAGCATAATTAAAATGTTGGGTATCTCCTCCCCATAATACTCCATTAAAACAATTGGGACCTGGCATAGAAAGTCGAGCCTCTGCTGCCTGCATCCCATATGGGTGCTGTTTGAGTCCCAGTTGTTCCACTTCTGATTTAGCTCCCTGTTAGTGGCCTGGGAAAGCAGCGCACCCACTTGGGAGACCTGGAAGAACTTAGCTGGACCAGTGCAAACCCAGACATCTGGGGAGTGAACCAGCACATGCCGATCCTCTTCCTTTAATTATGCCTTTCAAATAAAAAAATAATTTGTGGTTAACCTTATTTTCTATAATTATTGATGACCTATACAATAACTATATACTTCAATATGATCTAGTGTATTTTCTCATCTTTACCATATATATGTTCTGTGGTAGGGTCAGACTGAACTAGCAGGGCACAGGCTGATAGTCTAGTGGCTAAATCCTTGCTATGTTCTGGTGGGATCCCATATGAGTGCCAGTTTGTGACCCAGCTGCTCTGCTTTCCTTCCAGCTCCCTGCTTGTGGCCTGGGAAAACAGTTGAGGACCGCCCAAAGCCTTGGGACCCTGCACTCACGTGGGAGACCTGGAAGAAGCTCCTGGTTTTGGATCAGCTCAGCTCTGGCTGTTGCGGCCACTTGGGAAGTGAATGAATAGATGGAAGACATTTCTATACCTGCTTTTCCAATAAAAAATGAAAATGACTGGCAATGGAGAAAACAAAATTGTAGCCAGCAAGTTCCTGGCTCCTGGCTTTGGATCGGCACAGCACCAACCATTGCGTTCACTTGGGGAGTGAATCATCAGACAGAAGATCTTCCTCTATCTCTCCTCCTCTCTGTATATCTGACTTTGTAATAAAAATTAAAAAAAAAAAAAATCTTAAAAAAAAATCAGTGCTTGTCTTGCTCATCCTTGTATTGCCAATATCTGAAAAGTGTGATACATAACAAGCACTCAAATGTTTAATAAATGGTAAGGATTTCTTTTATATTTGTTATCATCAATAAAACCGACAAATCTACAACACTGAGCTTCTTACATATGAACAGATAACCAATCTATCTCTCCACCGAGTTTCATATATATTTTAACCTTTGATTTTCTGTATTATGCTTATGCCTTATTATACAACGTAAGCATATATAATGAGAACAGGATAACTGAATATTATGTCTATGGACAAGACAATTATTTCCAGCCCACCATGATTCTCTCTCAAATTTCATGTTGATTTAGGGACCACTGAGAGAATTATGTTCAGCTCTGACTGGCTATTCCGAGTATCAATGACTAAAATGAGAACAAGCTGCAAAACAGACTACTACCTCCCACACTTCAGGTTACCATGCCGGTTATGCAGGCAGGAAGGTGACATCTCTGGACTTCCCTGAACAGGTTAAGGCAAGACTCCTAAAGACATCATTGAACCTTAGGGATTATTCTGTCACTCACCTCCCATCTTGCAGCTATTTTCGAGTTTGACATTTCCATAACTCTTCCGGAAAGGTAGGCAAACTTATAGGCTGATTTTTAAAATAGAATAAATCTAAAAACAACTCTCATTAGGTGAATAAGCATATTTAATGACTTAAAAATTATTTCAAATTAATTGTAGCCATCTCTTCTTCTATACTTAATAAATACACAAACAGGTAGACTTAAGAAAATATCCTTACCCTGAAATTGACTCTGTTCCTGACCCTCTGAGCCAATGCTGAGTTTATAGCCTTATCAAACTGAAGTAGAACTTGAAGGGCAAGTTGGGGGGTGATCTGTTGAGACTGAGAAAAAGTGAAACTCATTAAGTTCTTCTAGGAACAACACTGAAGACAAGCAGAACTATGCATTACCTCAAATTTAACTGGTTACCCAAAGCCTCTAACCCAGGATTCCTTGTTTCCCCTTTGCCATCCTGGACAACAAGCAAAAAGGCTCAAGCTGTCTTGACATAAACTTCACTTTGAAAATGAAAACATTCAGTTGAGGTTCTGAAGCTAAGCAAACCCATGTATCCTACCTTGCTTTCTTCATTCAAAACCCTGGAAAGATGTGCTGTTATTGTTTAACAGAAAAACTTACTATAATCATTTTGAAGCCCAGGAAACTATGTTTCTACTGGGGAGTCTGCATTTTAAAAAGGTTAATTCTCTGGAGCCTATAATGTGAAGCAGTGGGGCTGGCATCGCATAAAAGTGCCAGTTCAAGTCCTGGCTGCTCTACTTCTGATCCAACTTCCTGCTAACGTGCCTAGGAAACCAGTGGAAGATGGTTCACAGAACTGGATCCTAGCATCCGTGAGAGGGACACATCCGAAGTTTCTGACTCTTAGCTTTGGCATGGCCCATCCTGGCCATTTAGAGGAATGTGCTAGCAGATGGAACATCTGTGTCTCCTTCCTCTCCGTAACTCTGCCCTTCAAATAAATAACTCTTTAAAAAAGCTAACTCTTCTGAAGCCATACAGCATATGCTTTTCTTCCTAATATGTAAAGGGAAAACCAACAATCTGAATATTTACATTTAAGTCTTTTTAAAGTTTTAGATACATGATGAGTGAATGAATAGTGTTGAATGTATCTCAATGGTATAATAAACAGGATTTGAAGTTACTTGGCAGCAATACTGTCGGGGCCTAACACCCCTATTTCTCTCATCTCTGGGAAAAGGGATGTGACACAAATTATTACAGAGCCATCTGAACATGTGTCTGATTGTCAGTTTCCCACCTGTATGAGCTCATCTAGGCTCTCCTGAAGACTGTTTCCCAAAGTGGTATTTCTGTATAATTGATACGCCATGGCTCAGGAGGAGGAAACCGTTCTTCTTGTTCAGGCTTGCATTGATGTCCTAAAATTTTAACATAAATTTCAAAAATGTTATAACAAATTATACCTGTTACATAGTCAACTGTATATATTCTGAGAACCCTTTAGTAAGTACAATTACTGTATAATAATTTCAGGAACAGCTTTTTCTGATAGGCATATATACTCCTTTAATGTAGTAGAGCTGTTATAGTTCCTAAAATATGTAAGTCTTACTTCCTGATTTAGCCTAGAATTTTCCATGTACCATTCTTTCTACCTGCTGTGAAATCACAGATGCAGGTAATCTTTAGCCACATTCGCATACCTGCCAGCTCCTTTATTTTTCTTAAATGTCAGTATTTGTGAAGTATCTATCCAGAGGATGCTACTATAGTAGGTAGCAGGTGGAAGGAGATGAAGAAAGACACATTCCAACCCTAAAATGTCATGCCCTAGAGGGTAACAGATACACAAAATTCATTCTAAACCAACAACTGTGATAGGTGCACACAGAGCAGTGCTACAGAGCCTATCTCTATTCTGCCTGAGTGGGTTTAGCAAAGCTTCCTGATTCTTGAAGTCAGATTTCAGAAGCATCAAAAAGGAAAATCATTCTGGGATGACAGAACAAAACTGGAATGTGGGAGAATTATAAACTCTATATTACTAGTGTGTCAGTATGAGCAAGGCATGGCAGATGGATAGAGTAGAGGAACAGACCATGTGGTGCCCCTAAATCATAGAAAACTCAAATATTATAAACATCAGGAATGGAAGTCCTAGAAGGACAGCAGTGACACAGACTCAATGACTACTACCAGCCAGGAGGAGGTCTGTTCTTTTATAGAGTAATCCTCAGGTGAAAGCAAACACAACGGTCATACAGCATCTTCACACTTCTTTACTCTCAGTTCTCCATCCGCTTCACTGCTATTGCACTTCTCTGCTTCACTGTTATTACACTTCTCTTTACGTGGCACTCCCTCAGCTCCTGCCGGTTTCCTACCCAGCTGTGCTAAGGCTTCCTGGGTGTTCTCTTAACTATATGCTTGACTCCCACGGTTCCTCCATCCAGGTTCACGGCTTCAGTCCCATCTATCTCCCAGGGACATTCAAATTTGTAGCTCTAGTCCTGACTTCTCTTGTATCTATTTACAAAAGATTTCCAAAAAGTTTGTGGAAAATGCATTATGAAAAACTACATAGATTTCAATTTTTTTTTGTACTGAGAAAAAATAAACTTATCTTTTAATTTCATTTTCCCCATGAGCTTTTTGAAGTACCCTTGTATAAAACTTCTTGACAGTGGATAAACACATCAAATTGACTACTGAAATATGCAAAAAACCAAACTCCTGACACCGTTCCAATCCCCAAATCATTACCTCCCTTGTTTTTCTTGCCTGGCATCAAATCTATCACTTAGCACTTTCAGCTTTTTTCTAAATGTATACAAAATCTGACCACTTCTCTCATCTTCAATGTTAACCACACTTATGTTATTACCTCACCATCATTAATGCCAGCCTACTTCATGATTTTGTAACCATGTGCCATCCCGGGATCTCTTCCTTTTCCTTCGCTGCAAATCCTCTGTAAAGCTTACCTCATTAACTAAAGGTGATGTCACCACTGTCTCTCTAGCACACAGTTAACATCTCAATGCCAGCCGGGGCTGTGGGAGCTCAGGCAAGACATCACCCAAACTCCTAACTGCAGGCCTTGAAATTGATTTATCACCCATAGCTAACAACTTCCTGTCAAAGACTTACACATAAATATTTTTAGAAACTTCAAGTCCAGGTCAAATAGAGTAATAATCAATCTACCTGGAAACGGAGACTGGAAAGGAAACATACTGGGTTCTATCTTTGACCACTGAAAGCAACGCCAGTCACCCCTTAGATGGACCAACCACAAGCCCACACGTAAACTAGTCATACACCGTTCATCTTCAGTGCTGAAGTATAACACTCACTGCCCTGACTCCCTTGGGGAATTGAGGGCTAGCTGCCCCACCCCTGGCTCTATGCAGTGCAATGAATATCACCTACTTCTCATCAGTCTGATGCCAGAGACTGGCTTACTGCCCCGAAACAAGCAGCTCTGCTGCTAGAGTCCTACAGAAACTCCTCCAAATTGCAGGGGTTGTCTTAGAGCAATTTCAGGGTTCTCCCTTGCCTCTCTCACCCTTCATGGCAATCATCCTGAAATTTTAAACCAAGTCTAATCATACAACTTAAAAACACCAAGAGCAATGTTTCATGTCAGTAAAAAATCCCGAGTCCTTCTGTAATCCGGGCCCTTTACCACACTCCTGCCCCTCTCCTGCACTCTGCTTGGTCACATGTGTCCCCTGCCGTGCCTCTACCTGGCAAGTATGTTCTTGTTTGAGGACCTCAGCATAAGCTGGCCTTCATGCTGTGAATATTCTGCCCAGACACCCACGTAATTCATGCCCTCATCTGATTCAGCACTGCTAAAAACATCACCCCACCAGAAAGGCTTTCTGCGATCAACAAGCAGAAAACAAGTTCCCCCTCCTCTCCAGACTGATTTTCACATCCATTAACTAAAGCCCATAATGAATGCTTTCTTGTCTCCATTTACTATAATTGATGATCCATGAAGGTGGGGGGGATTTTTATATAGCTATATATAAGCATTTACCCCCAAGAACAATGTATATAGTTTATATTTGGTAAACACTTGTTGAATTAACCACTTGATGGTACATTAAGGTGTTACATTAGAATTCCAAGTATGGGGCCCGGCGCCCTGGCCTAGTGGCTAAAGTCCTCGCCTTGAACACACCAGGATCCCATATGGGCACCGGTTCTAATCCCGGTGGCCCCACTTCCCATCCAGCTCCCTGCTTGTGGCCTGGGAAAGCAGTCGAGGACGGCCATGCACCTGCATCGGAGACCCAGAAGAGCTCCTGGCTCCGGGTTACAGGCTTCGGATTGGCGCAGCACCAGTCGTTGTGCTCACTTGGGGAGTGAATCATTGGGTGAAAGATCTTTCTCTCTGTCTCTCCTCCTCTCTGTACATCTGACTTTGCAATAAAAATAAAATAAAATCTTAAAGAAAAAAATTCCAAGTATGATTCAAAACTTTGTTTTATGTAACAAATGAAAGCAGCATTTGTGGACTGCCACAACCAAGTCTAAATACACACCAATCAATATCTGTGCCAGTAAGCCATGCCTCTGTTTGGTCACTACAGCTGAATCACAAATGTCTTTCTGTAAATCCGCTCTCTGCATCCATCAGGTCCTACTGAAGGCTGCTCCATCAATTTTCCTCGAGGCACCCCTTCAATCAGGTTTCCTGGGTCCTTTCGTTCTCTGTCCCCTGCTTCTAACAAGGCTCTGGCAATAAAGGCTTGGCCAGATTTTTTAAGCTATTTTTTTTTTTTTCTTATTGGAAAGGTAGATATACAGAAAGGAGAGATGGAGAGGAAGATCTTCCGTCCGATGATTCACTCCCCAAGTGAACGCAACGGCCAATGCTATGCCGATCTGAAGCCAGGAGCCTCTTCCGGGTCTCCCACGCAGGTGCAGGGTCCCAAAGCTTTGGGCTGTCCTCGACTGCTTTCCCAGGCCACAGGCAGGGAGCTGGATGGGAAGCGGGGCCACCAGGATTAGAACCGGCGCCCATATGGGGTGTGCAAGGCGAGGACCTTAACCACTGTGCCATTGCGCCGGGCCCAAGCTCCTATTTTCTTAAGAAAGCTGTTTAAGACTTAGCCATAGAGCTGCAGAGGAACTTGGATATGTTCAGAAGGTGGAAATAACCACAACCAGAGAGATCAGAGTACGACTGGAACTTAAAGACCCTGGAGACCTTTCAGAAGCAAGTACCCTGGGGAACAAGGCATTAGACGTTGGAACTCATCCTACTGAACTGTACCACAAGCTTGATTTCAAACGCCTCCAATCAACTAGCTTCACATTGTTTCCACTTAACAGCTTTCCCCACCAAATCCATAAAAAGCAGCGTTTAGGAAGACAAATTTAAATCTTACTGCTCATACCTCTGTGACTGCGGGGCATACTAACGAATCCTTCTCAAAAGACCCGTGCCACATACTGGTTTTGTACGCACAAGGCGTCATTCAGTCCACTCTAGTCCATGGAGGATAGCTTTTTTTTTTTTTTAAAGATTTATTTTTATTATTTTTTCATTGGAAAGGCGGATATACAGAGAGGAGAGACAGAGAGGAAGATCTTCCGTCTGATGATTCACTCCCCAAGTGAGCACAACAGGTCGATACTATGCCGATCCGAAGCCAGGAGCCTCTTCCGGGTCTCCCACGCGGGTGCAGGTTCCCAAAGCTTTGGGCCGTCCTCAACTGCTTTCCCGGGCCACAGGCAGGGAGCTGGAAGGGAAGCGGGGCTGCCGGGATTAGAACCGGTGCCCATATGGGATCCCGGGCGTGCAAGGCGAGGACCTTTAACCACTTGCACCACCGCGCCGGGCCCCGAGGATAGCTTTTTTTTGGTAAAGATCTGTCTACTTATTTGAAAGGCAGAATTAGAGAGGTCTTCTATCTGCCAGTTCAGTCCTCAAATGGTTTCAACAGCCAGTGGTGGGCGGAGCCAACGCCAGGGGCTTCTTTCTAGTCTCCCACAGGAGAATCACTCGGGACCGTCCTCGCTACTCTCCCAGGTGCACCAAGCAGGTAGCTAGATTAGTGGAAGTGGAGTGGTCAGGACTCCAACCAGCAGCCCTATGCGATGCTGGCATTACAGGCAGTGGCTTTACACCCTACTCCACAATGCTGGCCCTGAGCACAGCATTTTAACAATTGTTCCTTCACTCTCTTACCATCCAATCATCCTCTCTACAGGTCATTTCTATCAGCAAACAAACGGCTACTTCTCCCATTTTAAATCTTTTTTTTGTCCTTTAAAAAGCCACAACCCACTTCTTCAGATAGTAACAGTACATTTCTGTACTGTCCGTTACTTTGCCCCATTCTCTCTTCCCACCCTTTTCTCTTAAAATGACTAAGGTTCTGCCTCCACCGCTCTAAAGAAACAAGTGGCGACAGTCACCAGTGGCATTACTGAACTCAGAACATCTGACCCAGCACAGCCCATTAGACTCTTAGTTAAGATGCCTGCTTGGCTTCTAGACTACAAAACTTTGAGTTATCCTCTTAACTCATTAGTTTGTTCTCTCTGAACTCTTAATGCCAAGGACATTGTGCTTTATTTTCTGCTACTTTATAGCTCCACTTGTTACTTAGTGATCAACATTCATTCTTTTGGCTGTACAAACGATTGATGATCCCCAGATTCAGAAATTGGTACTGCACTTCTCACTCCTAGATTTAGTTGCCCACTCAACATTTCTGTCATTTCAGTTCAAAGAAGCCAGTAGTTTGGACAAAAATCTGTGATGTGACCTTCCAATGCACGCACCCCCGTAAGCTCCAGGTGCACTCAGAGCATTTCTGGCCGTCTTCACTGTCACCACCCTGGTGGGAGACACTATCACCACCCTTTATTTACTACAACAACCTCCTGATTTCCCTTGTTTTCAAGTTTTGCTTATTTTATTGGAAAGGCAGATTTACAGAGAGGAGAGAGAGAGAAAGGTCTTCTGTCCTCAGGCTCACTCCCTGAATGGTCTCAATGGCCAGAGCTGAGCTGAAGCCAGGAGCCTCCTCCCCGTCTCCCATGTGGGTGCAGGGTCCCAAGGCTTTGAGCCATCCTTGACTGCTTTTCCAGGCCATGAGCAGAGAGCTGGAAGGAAAGTGGAGCAGCTGGGACACAAACCTGTGCCCATATGGGATGTGGCACTTGGAGGTGGAGGATTAGCTAGTAGAGCCAACACATAGGTCCCGGATTGCCCATTTCTGTGCTTGCTCTCTACGCTCTAACCAAACGCCTAGCCAGGATGACCTTTAAGACGTCAGTGAGAATATGTCTCTTCTCTGTTCCATCAGTCGTTGTAACCTTCCTACTGTTCATCCTCTCCCACAAACACACATTCTGTGTTCCTTGATACTCCTCTAACACGACAAGCCTTTTCCTAAAAGGTTTAAAAATGGCTGTTCCTTCTGCCTGCAATACTCTTCACCTGGTTAACCCTAATGTCTTTGTCTGCACAGACAGAATTACCTCAGTCCTAAATTCAGCACAAATCCACAATGCCAACTCCCTCTTTCACTCTGGAATTGCTCAAACCCTGTATCTTGATCAACTCCGATGACTAACACAGTGTGTATTGCAAACTCCATAGGGTACAGACCGTTGTGGTCACTGAAGTAAAATAAGCATCTAAACTAGTACCAGGTGCACAATAGAAGCCAGCTGAAGCATTCTCAATTAATGACTAAAGGCTGTTACCAATAAACATACATAACGTTAGGGGAAGGGGTGGGTAAAAACTGAAGAGGTTGCAACAGAAATAAAGCCTTTACCAAGGAGAGGCAGGGCAAGAGGGTGGCTGACTTAAGATGCTTTAGTAATCATCTTCCCACAGGAATGCCAATTTGAATAACTAGGTGTGTGCCACGGCACTTTCAGAAGAGATATGGAAGCCAGGCAAGATCAGTGTCTGGTTTTGATAGAAGACTCACTGAGGGTACAAGATGGTGTCGTCACTATCTCCCCTCCCCTAAGCACTACAAGGAGAAACTGCTGTCCTCCTCCTCGGGAAAAGGGAGAGTCAATTCCATATCTTATACTTCAAATCCGGCACCTGCTGAAGAGGATTACACGGCCTACTACCACCAAGCTTGAACCTGCCTTTGGTCTTCTCAGTTGGGAGAACAAGGAGACCGGCTTTCACTACCCCTCTCCCTCAACTTCCTGCAAGCCATGCAAGAGGCTCAGTGCCAGCACCACTGCAGTGGAGCGACCCAGTGCCAGCAGGTCCTTGTAGACAGACTCGGGGCTGGATGAGTGTTTCAGCTCACATTCCTGCCACTCTCACTAGTGTGTAGAACACCACAGTGAGAAGACTGCATCCAGCAAGTGGCCAAACTGCCATGGCAGATTCCAAGGAGCCCGCTCCTAGGACCACACCCGCAGATATGCAGACACAGCCTCCAGACCCTCCCATTCCAAGTAAAGAACCATGGTCCTAATGGTCCTAATCGACTGGAGTTATCTACCAGCAACTGTGACCTGTGACTGGCTGCAGTAGCCTCGGGCTCCATGGCAAAAAAAGAAAAAAAAAAAGGTCCTTGGTCCAACCCTGAGCTGTACTGTTGGCAGGCTGTGGGCTGTAGGTGTGCACTGGCATTGTAGCACAGGTGGCCACAGAGTGCCTCCATTCCCCCAACCCCAGACAGCATTATGAACTAGACAGCAACACACAGCAAAACCTATAACATCACTTCCCAAATTTAAACAAGATATAGAAAATCTAAACAGACCACTAGTGAAACTGAATCATTAATCCAAAGTCACTTAAAAAGAAAGCCCAGGACCAGATGGTTTCACTCCTAATTCTTGTCAAACTACCACAAAGAAATCGAAAGGGAAGAATTCCTCCAAACTCTTTGTGTGAGGCCAGCACTAATTCGATTCCAAAACCAGACAAGGACAAAACAGCAGAAATCTACATCTTAACCTTCCATAGGAGTAAAGAGACCAAAATCCTCAGCAAAATACTAGCGCATTGAATCTAACACATGAAAAAGATCATTCGCCATGACTGGGCAGGATTTACCCCAGGGATGCAGGGGCAGTACAACACAGGCCAATCAATTCTTACATACATCACATCAACAGAATGAAGGAGAAAAAGTATCATCTTTTATCCAGAAAAGGCATTCATGAAGTTCAGCATCCACTCATGACAAAAACCCTGATCAAATTGGAAAGCAAATGTATGGGCACAGCAAGAGCTAAGTGTGACCATCAATACAGCAAATGTCATGCTCAAGAGGGGAAGAGCTGCCAGTCTTTCCACTATGGATGTCCTCTGCACTCTTACTCAACCCAGTAGTGCAGGTGTCAGCCAGGGCAATTAGGCTAGGAGAACCCTGGTCTGAGGACGACCTGACTCTACAGGGAAACCTAGAGGAAGGGGCAGCTAGGACAGATACATGAACTCAGCAAAGTTGCATGGTGCAAAATCCACACACACAAATCAGGAGTATTTTCTACACTAATACAGAGAAAGAAATTATGCAAGCTGCAACTGCCCAAAAACCATGTAATAAATGTAAAACCATGGAAGCCAAAGGTCTCTTGAATAAAAATTACAAAACATTAATGAGAGTGAAGACACCAAAAACCAGAAAGATGTCCCATATACACGAATTGGAAGAACTGACACTATTAAAGTGTCCACACCGCTCAAAGCAGTTTACAGATTCAATGCATCCCCATCCAAATACCAATGACATTCTTCACATAACTAGCCAGAAAACATTCCCAAATTCATATGCAAGCACTAAAGGCCGTGAATACCCAAATAATCCTATAATGAAGAACACCAGAGGTAGCACGGCATTCGATTGTAAAATACACCACAGAGTCACAGCAAACCAGAGCTGCACAGTGCTACAAACGGGATGTTAATTTAAAAACTTTGCAAAAGAAACAACAGTGCTGAGACAATGGAATGGGAGAAAACACGAACACACTATCCGTCAAAAGATCAATATCTTACATAGGAAATGCAGGAGACTCAGCTACAGAGCCCCCAAACAGCCGGACCGACATCTCCCCAAGACGACACACAAGCGTTAGCACACAGACGCAGCAGACAGACGCAATCGCAACAGCTCTCAGTGGGAAGCAGCTCAATACCACAGGGACATCACTCCGCCGACACTGGCTATTACCAAATCCGCACAAATAACAAGAGCAGGCAAGTATGTGGCCAGAAGGAAACCCTTACACGTTAGGGGTGTAGCCACCTACTGTAGGACCCGGCCAGTCCGTGGCAGGCCGCCTGTCCGCAAGAAATCAAAGTCCTGAAAAACAGCCACCCGCGTTCCCAGTTCCCAACAGCACAGACAACGAATCACCCCGGGGTGTCCGGGAATGGACGGCATAATTTCAGGATTCCAGCACAAAAACTTAAATGTTGACATCTGCACCAAAACGATTTTTCAATTGGAGGCCATCATGTCCACTGAAATCAGACAGACACAGGAAGACAAACGCCGCACGCTTACTCTCCTACACGTGCAAGGTGTTTCACAGTGATGAGCAGCGGCTGGGACGGGTAACGGTTCCCTCACATTTCTCGGGGCGCCCCATTCCGAGGGGCTGCCTCGGCTCTCACGCCCAGCACCCCGGAAAGGGCACCCCGCGCTCCCGGCCCCGAGCGATCCGCTCACACCGCACAGGACCCCCCTAAATGCCCCAGGCACACACGCTAATCAGAACATCACAAACATTAAAGACCCGACGAGTTGTAACAGTACGGAGACTCGTGCCATGCCCCGCTTGCAAGCGGTCTGCGTTATCCACAACAGGTGAACGCTGCAATCACCGCCTGACTGACCTCAGGTGCCCACCAAGCCGCAGGACGGAGACGGGCTCGGGGCTTCCAGGCGCTCGGGGCTCACAGTCCCGCAGGGCCCCGTCCTGGCCCTTCCCGGCCCAGCACCCCGTTCAAAAGGCGGACTTCCCTAGGGTTCCCGCCTCAGAGCGGGGCGGGCACGCACCTGGCCGCCGACCGCCGCGGCCCCTCCTCCCGGCGGGGTTCCCGGGGCCCGCTCGCCCGCTCGCTCACCACCGCAGCGAAGGCGCTCCCGGCCGCGGCCCCACACAGGCCTGCAGACTCCGGACTCACCGCCACCTCCGCGTCGGCCGCCGCCAAACCGCAGCGCTGGGCGCACGACCCGGAAGTGCTCCCGGAACCTGGAAGTGACACCACGTCTGCGGGCTCGGCCCCGCCCCCACGGCTCCGGTGCGCCAGTCAAGGCCTGTGAGGTCAGAGCGCGGGCGCGGAGGGGGTGGGGTTTGTAACTGACTCCGCCCACCCCATTCCGAGGCCACGCCTCCATGCAACTCTCCAGGTTGTGCCTACATCTTTCCAAAACAAATTAGAATTTTTAGAGGCTCATCTCCACATTGTTAGCAGCACAATTTAATGGACCTAGACATTCACTTTCTAATGCCTGGACTCTGTTGAGGATAATACTGTTGAACTACGTGTAATAATAAATTGAGAGATTCTGCAACATCTGAGATCCATTATCTCCTGTTAGTCAAAACAGAGCTGCCGTTATTTTGGTCCCGATTAGGCTTCAAGCTTGTGATTCATTAAGAATTTTAATTTCTGAGGTCTTGCACTTAAAATTTGTGCCCAATATGTAAAGCAAATACTTCAGCATATGCAGTCTACATAATTCCAGCTTATCTTAGGTAACCTAATTATTGTGAATTAATGAATCTAATTGTAAAGTATACAGCAGTTTGCCATCTAACGTAACCAATTGGAACCTCTGAGCAGGTTTTGGTAAGAAATTTACACAATCTCTTCATTTTCAGTCACTTCCCTAATTGTACAAAATTTGTACTCCAGTGTTAAAAATCAGACTGCACTCTTCCTTCCTTGAATAGACAACACAGACCCCAGAAAAAAAAAAAAAAACACAAAAAGGCCTGGTATTACTTGAAAGGCTTATTCGTATCCACTGTGAGAGTTTAACAAGCATTGACAGAAGGCAGAAAAAAGTGACAACACGAGGCACAAACTTTCCAATTCATTTATTTAAACTCACGAACGTTGCAAAAAATACGATGTGCAACAAATTAAAACACAAGTTACTGTATTCCTAACAGGTCCAAGGAAAAAGAAAATAATTACATCACCATAGGAAATCCTGACCGACCTTGGTCTTACAGAGACCACATGGACATGCTGCACACAGACACACATGGAAACTAGATTTCTCAGTGTGCAAGGATCTAACGAGGCTAGGCAACACCATCCTGCTAGTAATACAATGATCACAGTACTGTCTAAATGACAACTTGTGAACCTGTGGCAACAAACATATTTTTAAATATGTATGAAAGTGCATTAGTGTCTAACAAACTCTGTATTGTTTTCTACAGGAACAAGGGCTGTGCTAGTCCGTGGCTTTGAACATCACTAAAACGGACTCACTGGGTTTATGCAAATAAACAGTTACACAACTGTTCAAGGACACTGGGCTTCAGATGGTCTGTATACAAACAGTGCCCTGGAATTCTTCCTTTGCCAAGCGAAACGTGAACTGAAATCTAAGTCCGAAGCACTAGACTCCTGGTCTGCATCTATACTTCATCCATTAAGTGCTTTGTGTGAATTTTCATGGCATTTTAAAGTTTACTCTCCAAGCATCTGAAATTAAGTAGAAGACCTATTTATTACATTTTGTTGGGACAAAAGGTTCTATCCAGATTTTAGCATTCTTCTTTTAACATTCTAATTTATTTTTCTTTAATACTTACAACTTTAAAACAAAGTTATATTACTGAGCCCTACACTACTGATCCGGGCTCTTCAGAAATCTCAAGAATGGGAGACGAGGGTGCTGGGGTCCCTCAGACAGTTCTTACCAACTACATCAAGTAGACAGTAACTCACTTCCCTCCACAGCCGGCCTTCCATGCATGTGTAGGTTTATGCTCTAACACACTCCAACATCACAACTCCTATTCACCATAAAGGCAAACTCCTGGCCAGCAACAGCTTCCCAGTACATTAACTCCACTACTCACTCCATCCCTTTAAGATCTATTTCTGAAATATGTGGACAGGGTGGGGAGAAAAACAAAACAGTGTAGTGGACTGTTATTTTTTAGTCTCTCTCCTCATGTGATCTATGTTAGCTATTTTCTACATACAACATGGGAAAAGGATGGTATTACTATGAACACACACACACACACACACACACACACACACACACACACACACACACACACTGGCTTCATCATGGAACCTGACTGTTCTATCAGATATTTATCCTAATGCTAACTGACCAACTGCAGAAATCTAACAAGCTGTACCTGCATTACATCTAGCACTTCCAAACTCCCTGAGCTCTCACCTATCAGTCCTTTGAAAAAAGCCTCTATCCAAAAAGCAGACCCCTATCTTTTCAAATATTGTAAACACATTTGCAGAAACTTTAGCCATAAAACCATCAGCACAGTTCAGAATCCAGTGCAGTTACTGAAGAACAATGTCCTTTTTCAAAGACTAACGTTGACCAACTGTGACCTGTCTAAACCTTTAATCTGGCACTGATTGCTAACCCTCTCTGCTGAAACTTGCTTCTCTAGCAACAAAGAAAGCAAAGCAAATATGAACTCCTTTCATAGCTGTTACCACCTTTTCTCCTATTCACACTGTGTACAGCCAGCCACAAGCTTTCCGGCTGGGTAAAAGAAACGGAACTACCAACTGACCCTAAAGAGGACACATTCATTCAGTGGGGGCCTTAGATAACAGCTAAGTCTTTCTTTATCCCTTTATAAAGGGCTCCTTTCTCCTGCTTGATCTTTCCCAGATATGCAGCCAGACTGTACTTAGAATCACATGTGTCCATGCTCCCCACTAAGTTAAAAATTCCTAAGCTTAAATCGTGGAGTCCATAACAACTTTCCCCGGTGCACAGAACACAAAAACCAAAGTATTTCATGCTCCACAGGACAAGCTTCCAACTTAAAAGGGGCACCAGAACTAAAGCTAACAAAAATGTGGACAGAAACATCATAGGTCATGTAAGTTAGCCTCATAACCCCCAAAAAGATAAAATACAATGATATCTACTTCCACCTCAATCAGTCATGGAAAATTAAAATTTAATAAAATGTCACATGATTGCCAATTATAAGTAAGCTTAATCAATGTTTTTCCTTTAAACTACCAGTTATCATCTTAATTTCATAGTTATGAAACATTTGTTGCCACATCCCTAGACCAGAATGTACTAAGGTGTGAGTTATAGCAGGTATTCTAATCTGGTTCTTCACAGAATACATCTTCTGTTATAAAAACGAGTGTTAGAAACCATGATTTCAGAAGTAAAAATACAGAGTTAAGTTAAGCTTTTTGTCTCTCCAACTGACCCAGGTACTGCTGTGGGAAAAGCACCTATTAAAAAGGCCAACCCATATCAAGAAAACACATGGATAAAAGTTGCTTACAATGCTCTACAAATATGGACTATCATCACAATTGATTCAACCATGACCTTTTATTCATGATCTCCATATGGTGAATTCAGAAGGAATGCCTAAGTTGTTTCCATTAGTTTACTTCAACACAGTGTTTCTAAATTTTCAGCAAGTAATGGTCTTGGCTTCATTCACCATAGCTCACATTATTGCCTCAGGATGTGCCAAGAGCCACTGGATCCCAAGCTGAGACAGGGAGCTGCTAAAGATGGTCTCAGCTGGAGAATCCTCCAGCAGCTCACGGTTGTAGCTAAGTTACCATTACAAGTCTGTGATGAAAGAGTACAAAAAGTAGAATTCCCTTTTGCATTAAAAACTTTGTCCTTAAAAATAACAATGTTTTGCACAGACTATGTGTTTAACAGAAGACAGAATAAGCCTTTAAGGCTTACTTCTATTTTCTTCAATTTTGCTGCACCATGCCTAAATCTTGAAAAACACACAAAGGGCTGAAGAGTGGCAGGAAGAGGTTTGGAAGATGGTACATTTACCAAATACATGAGTCATTCAA